GTCTTTCATTTGATTTTGCATTTAATTTCGAAAAATATTTGCCATATTTTTCCGAAATTTCATGAAATATATCACCTGGGAATTCAAGATATAATTTTTCGTGAAAAATTGAAATCCTGCCCGGGGCAGTTTATAACGATCTAGAGGATGGAGAGTTTTCCTAATTTTCAGATTTTCCAACTTAAATCCTAAAATTTTTGCTTGAGGTTATATTCTACTGTTTCGAACCAAAGGGTGTCTACAAGTCCAGAATTTCCGGAAAATCCGGAAATAGTACTGATTTTTTAAGGGCAGTCCGGAAGTACTGATAATGTGCGGAAAACCGCAAGAAGGTCCGAAATTTTTGTAGTTTTGTCGCAATTTGAGCGAGAAATCCAAATTGTTGAAAATTTTCGAATTCCGGCAATTGGAATAAGTGAAAAAGTACTGAATTTTTCTGTTGAGAAGGCACTGAATTTTTTGGAAATTTACTGAAAAAATATTGATTTATGGCGAGTCTGTTTTAGTAGACACCCTCACTGAAAAACGAATATGGTAGATTTTACCATACTTGGACACAGTGATACACGTATGGTAATAAACACCAGACTTCATGGTAGCATTTACCATATTATGGTAAGTATCACTAGAGCCCCGGTGAATACTACCGTAATTCTAGTTATTTTCACTAAATAGTATGACTTATAGTAGATGTTACCATACTTTTTTTTCAGTGCTGCAAATGATCATCGAGCCTTTATCGAATACGATCCATTGCTTTGTCTACGAATTTCAATAATCAGGCGGCAGCGCGGGAAATGCGGCTAACGGTGCCGGACGAGTGCGACGTGGTAGGAGCTCGGATACGCGACGATGGAAAGTTCACGAAGCTCATACGAGGGCCGAGACTCGGGAATCGAGAATCAATATTCCGTTAATTTAATAGCGAGTAATACTCGTAAAACACCGAGGACCGAGGAAATGGACCCGTGGATGCCCCGTCCACGTCATCTCGTCTCATCGGAGAAATCCGCTGAAAATCCTACCGCCGCGATCCCAAGACCGCTGACCGGTCGTCAGTACTGCCGTCCTAAGGAAAAACGCCGTATGAACATTCCTGAGTTGCCAAATTTCCCTTGATTAAACATGTATTCTTGACGACATTCGTGCATATTTTTCCTCGAAATGGGGATGTTGCATGTGTGAGGGATTTTCGATTTTAGCCCTTGAAGCAGTACCACAAGTAAAACAAACGGAACCAACACAGTAAGGAAGTATAGCGCGCTGAGAGCGGCGCGGAGATACAACTATTCTTGCTCGATGGATGTCCGTGTTGCATCTGCAAAATTGAAGGCGCGATGCCGCTCGGCGTGAACTCGCAACGGAGATGTTGCATGTCCGAGGAATTAGCGATTTGACTACTAATTTTCATGTAAAAGTTCGCGAGAAACACGATGATGCCACTGGTTTTCTTTGAAATCAACTCCCAAGCTCAAAAAAAGCTCTCAAGTTGAGGCCAAAATGGAGGGGATATCCCACGCTATCCTGAGAGTCCACCTCTACAACTCCATGACAAACACTCCATGCAAAGATAGGTAGCAAATACATTGACCGGGCTGCCACTTTATTCGAGATTCCACAACTGTCAACTGAATTTTCAAATTATCATAATAGTAGAGCTTTTATTATTGACCCGATAGTGACATGAACATCAGGAACGCTTTTGGAATTAAAATTGAATATTCGCCAAAGAATCGATTGAAAGATGGGAAAAAATTTGATTTCCGTATCCGGAACTCTGGAAAATTGTATAAGTTTCTCCCAAAAAATCCTGGGAAAGTGGAAGAAGAGGTAGATTTCTCATCTAGGAATGACCTCCTAAAAATCGGGGAAAATCAGAGAATGAACAAGTAGTCCAGTCAATAGGGGGTAAAGTAGAGACAATTTCTGAGGAAACTTTCTGATATACTATTCCTATGTATTTTTCATCGCTGAATCCGAATTTCATATTTGCGAAAAGATCTGAGGCGAGCCAAAGCCGCCATCTTGAAAAAATGGCCGAAATTTGCGTTTTTCGGCCAAAAAACGGAAATAACTCGTATATTATGGAAATTACGGCAAAAGTAGTTATTTTCTAAATTAAAGTACATAAAATTTCCATTAAAACGAGTCCAAGATGGTTAAGATCGGATGATAACAAATGCCGTTACAGCGTTGCAAAGTTTCAGGCAATTATTGAAGTTAGGCAATTTTCGTAAATCTCCCTGCAAAAAGAGAGCTTTCAAGGCAATTAATCATTAAATCGTAGTAAGTGTAAGTATGAATGATAAAAGGAGTGCAGTTTTGAGTTCTTGACTTTCAAGAACGGCAGTGGATAATGGGGGGGGGGGGTTCCGTATAAGCGCAGCTGCAGGGTCCTCCGTTCCTCCCCCATTTTCATGGCCCGGGTGCGGCCGGTCGGCCTTCGTTCTCCGGGTTAGAAGTTCAATTTGAGTTGTAAAGGATGTTGTTCCAATGAAACCTCTTTTCCACAATGTACAAAATCTCGTACAATGTACAAAATCTTTGTACAATGTACAAAGTCGGAACATAGCTTTCATACCTAAATTCAGCCAAAGTTTTCTCTGCTCACCCTTGAAACCATATAACCGGAGTAATAATTTATTTTCCTGCTTTAGAAATTTCTTCTTGCTTTGAGCCTGATTTTTTAAGCATCTGAGCTGCTGGTTCACTTATTAAAGCTGAGTTGTTCCCCAGGGTTTGCTAAAAATTTAACTTTGATTTGCCTGAAGAGTGATGATGTTAAGTGATGATGTTGTGTCACTCCCACTAATGACATGAATGAACAGTATGTGTTCGGCTTTCACTCCATTTTCAAGGCTGCCTCGGTTGAAAAGTATTTAAGGAGTCTCACCTTTGCCTGATTTTAGAGGGAAAGCATTGTTGACGTTACTTGACTGAGCTGTAAGGAGGACAAGGAGGTCAATATCTTTTCCTACAATTACAGCAATTTCGCCCTGTTTTGCAATTTTCAAAGCCTTTGAAACTTTGATTGTGTCAGTGACTTCTTCTGCTCGAAATACAGACATGCTCTCAGCCCTGAAACGTTTCATGAGCCTTTGGAACAAACGGGATTTGTTTTCGCCGTTTTTCAGAAAATTTGCTTGTGATGTTACTGGGACCATACTTTTATGGAATTTTATTTCCACTGATGAAGCTTATCCTCTTCGCCATCTTCCAGGTGTTTTCGAGCTGCATCTTGTAATATCCTTGCGATAGCCGCCGAAAACGATCACAGAATTAGCGGAATACAGATGGTTGTTGCATCTTGATGAAAATCCTCATTTTGTCTCCAAATCACTCGATGGAGCAAAATACGGACATTTATGATATACGTAGGATTCTTGTCATCAATTTTATCTACACACGGTGTAAATGTAAAAAACATACCATAAAATATGGGATACACATGCCGTCTGCTAAGGTCAACAAAACGGTTTAGGGTGAGAGTTCGACAAAAAATGTTGAAGTTCCTCAGCTGATTTTTTATTAACAGGTATGTGCCGAAATAATAAGAGAGGTTTCATTGGAACAACATCCTTTACAACTCAAATTGAACTTCTAACCNCACTTACTACGATTTAATGATTAATTGCCTTGAAAGCTCTCTTTTTGCAGGGAGATTTACGAAAATTGCCTAACTTCAATAATTGCCTGAAACTTTGCAACGCTGTAACGGCATTTGTTATCATCCGATCTTAACCATCTTGGACTCGTTTTAATGGAAATTTTATGTACTTTAATTTAGAAAATAACTACTTTTGCCGTAATTTCCATAATATACGAGTTATTTCCGTTTTTTGGCCGAAAAACGCAAATTTCGGCCATTTTTTCAAGATGGCGGCTTTGGCTCGCCTCAGATCTTTTCGCAAATATGAAATTCGGATTCAGCGATGAAAAATACATAGGAATAGTATATCAGAAAGTTTCCTCAGAAATTGTCTCTACTTAGCCCCTATATGTGCTCTATTGACTGGACTAAAGGTATAGAATTCTAGACACCGTGTCGTAAAATTAAAAGTTATTAGAACCAGTTTTCACGTGATAAAGTTTACTTTCATTATAATTTAAACGTGTTCCCAGTCAATTTTGGCGCTAGCCAGGAGTTTGGTTGATTCAAGCTTGTTGTTTTGGCTGACCCAACCATGTGTCTGGTATGTAACCTTACAACACACTCCAGGCTAGCGCAAAAATCGGTCATGAATGCAGTTGAAATTATCATACTTTTTCTCGAGGGCTCAGTTTTAAGACTGATCCTGAATTTCTCAATGGACCACTAGACAAGGCACGAATTCAAGCATTCTGATACATGTTACTTGACTAGAATTTCACGTAGAACACGATTCGCGCAACAAAAATTACTGAAACCAACTCCTAACGAAGATATTAACCTTCTTATTTCACATTGGTCACGCGGATTTTGAACTGCTCGCTCATAAGAAACTCAAAGCTCTACGTGAGTCAAATCGCGGACTACAACGGTTTCAGCAAGCCTCTCAATCTAGAAATGTTCATTTTCCACCATGTGTTTTTCAAACTATAAGCAATTTGCTACAGCTGAGCCAAAGCGTCAAGATTGAGGTTGCCAAATTTTCACATCGTAGAGACTGTCATGATAACGTTTAGCGCGCGATGTGAATCACGTATAGAGCATTGAGTTTTTTTAAGCGGGTGGTTTGAACTCACGCATCAAGAATCATCAAATATCTTCGTAAGGAGTTGATTTCGGTAATTTTCGTTGTGCGCATCGCGTTTTACGTGAAATTTTGGTCCAGAGACATGTAACAGAATGCTGAAATTCGTACCTTGTCTAGTGGTCCATTCTATATACGTACTCGTCGGAATTCTTCGACAAGCGCTCGAAAGTGTTTGATTTTGCCGTGAAATGGAGTGTTTTTTTTTGGTCGAATGGAAATTTGTTTTCCCGGTTTTTTCACAGACAAATTTGTTGTTTGTTTCAGGAATTGAAGGAAAGCTTCAACTATGGCCTGTTTTTACCGCCGAACAACGGAAAGGCAGGAAAATTCTTGGACGAGGAGCGGAGGCTGGTCGACTATCCATTCAATGGCCCTGTCGGCTATCTCGAGGTAACCAAAATAGGGTGTTTAGCATCAGAAAAAACCGGAAAAATCGGAAAATATCAGGAATTTTTGCCGATCAGGAAAAAATCAGGAAAATATCAGGAGAATCGGACGTTTTATCAGGAATTCTTCTTATGCGAATCTCCTTAGCGGAGGAAGTCTCACTGCTTTTTGTCTACCGTGCCAGGAGTCGAGAAAAATCAGAAAAATATCAGGAATTTTCAAAATGAAAAATTCAGCAATTTTCTATACGATATCAGGAAAAATCAGAAAAATATCAGGATTTTTCAAAATTAAAAAATACTAGACTCCCTGCAAAAGCAAAAAATTCGAATTCAAAATAATTTTTGAAAAAGAGAAAGAATTATTTCGCTATCGCACGGCAGTAAAGATTCAGTGTCTAATCAAATCATTTCCAGAGCAAGAAGTTCTCAGTCATTTTATACAAATTTAGAACTTTTCTAAAACTAGGAATACTTAGACCGAGTTTAATAGAAGGAAACCAACCCACATAAATTTGAAACTGAGAAAAAGAGGTTTGAAAATTATCTCTCCATAAGGCTCAATTTAGAAGGTAAACTTTAATCCTTCCTAACACAGACTAATTTTTTCTTCTCAATTTTAAGTGTTCGGCAGGGCACACTTGTCTTGAAACAAAAAAAAAAAAAATGCGACAAAAATACACCTAAAAACTGGTTGAAGGGCGTGAATCTATGGTACGTGAGAACTTAAAATCCTGGAAAATCAAACTCTTGGCTGATCCAAGATACTTTCGAGATACCGCAATTTAAAATTTTCATAGTCAATACAAGTTTTCTCCTAATTTTGATCAGCTTTTGTATTTATTTGTCCCAGGAATCTGTGGTGATCGGTTCACGTTTTTATTCTTCGTTCGATTCATTTCGATCGAATACATACCCTTTCGTTATATGCAGACTTCCTATCATACTCTTTTTTTTTAAACTGAACAATTCGCCTTCTGCTGCGTCTGCAGCAATTGTTGTTACGGATATGTTGTGCGTGCTGATTGTAGACCATTACATACTCGACTCTCTGAAGGCGTTTTTGTGCTCAAGTAGTGCGATCTGTCGGAGAACGAACGAAGCTGGGATTAATCGATTCATTCAATTTCACTTCTGTTGTTCTCCAACAGGGTGCTTCACTATCGCACATTAAACGCCTTCGAAGAGTCAGATATGTAATGAACTGAAATCAGCACGCACAACATATTTGTAACAGCAATTGCTGCGGACGTAGCTGAAGGCGAAATGAAAACCACCGTATGAAACACGTTGAAGACCATGATCTATTGATCTCACGTTGATCTCCTAGGTTGGTTCCTTTCTGATGAACTCGGTCCACTTTTGCTTATCTATTTTTGTATCTAGTTTGACGAAGGTACATCTTTCGGGGGAGGAGGGGAGGAGGGTCAGAGGGTCTACCTCCATGACTACATGTTTCCGTAAATTGATTGTTTTTCATTATGCTATGCAGCGTTAAAGTCGCTACGGAACAAACACATTATTGTGTTCCAAAATCTACACACAGAAATGTCGTGAACCACCACAAGTTCAATTAAATAATAGTTTGGATTTTCTAGTTACATTTTTTACATAGATGGCCAAATTTTGCAACCACGTATGTTTACTTGCGACGTTGCAGACTTCCTTTCATACGTAATTTTTATGTGGAAAACTGGTCAGCGTAATTTCGCGAAAACTTCCCTGGATTTGACTTCTCTGGTAGCAGAATATTCCGTATAATTTTCGACGTGTGAAGTTGACTTATCTTCCTACGGAAAATGAAATGGTAGCAAAAATGTTGAAACCCCCCAATGAAGATACGTGGTTTTGCACTTGGTCATGGTCATCCATATATTTTATGGAATTTTTGCGCAAAGAAAATTATGGTCAAGCATTCTTTGCCATTCTGATTTTGTGTGTGTTTTCTTTTTCAGCTAAAATACAAGCGACGGGTCTACAAAATGCTGAATTTGGATGAAAAGCAGCTTAAGGCCCTACACACACGAACAAACTTCAGACGCTTATTAGACTATGTAGCCAATGGACAAGTAGAGAAAATCACTAAAATGTGTTCCAAAGGACTAGACCCAAATTTCCATTGCACAGAAAGTGGAGGTAATTTTTATTTTTCAGCCGCATTAATATTTTGTTATGATTTCGTCCAATGAATAGTTTTTCTTTACGATCTTGTAATTTCGGATATTTTTCGCACTAGAAATATGACTTCACTTAGTATTTTTTTGGCGTTTTATTTTAAAAATAAATAATCAAGATCAAAGAAAAATGTTATATTCAGTACCATCAAACAATCTTAATTCATCTCTTTTCTCAAAAAAAAGAAGAAAAAAACCGATTCTACAGGATGGGACAAAATTTTTCAAAATTTAAGGAAAGGGGTTTAGAGAGTGTTATTCCTTCATGAGACCAGGAGATAAATTTCAACGCCTTTTTCATTTTTAAAATATTTTTTCTTAACTTTGAATTTTTGGCAGGAGGAAATGTGCTGCTATTGAAGCTCAAAACTTCTCATAACTCATTTGAACCAAAACTTGACATATTCCCTTTTTTTTACTTCAGTTCAAAGTAAATCCCACAGTAAAGTAACTAGACGTTTGCTTCAGAATTAATGTTTTTTTTTTCTGTAGAAAGGATGGTTTCGCACAGATTTTCCACCATGTTACTTTGCCATCGGACTTACATTTTCCTAGCTACAATATCAAAGTTTAGTCAAATGGAGGGAATTTTTCTGCTGAGAAGACTGTTTGTTATATGATTATTTAATTCAAACCTGACTCTTGAGTTGTCTGTATGAATTTTTGTGCGGCATGCTTCTATGAACTCAGGGTGTCTACCGTCAGTAAAAGCCGGTTACCATCAGGAATTCATAAGTCATCAGGAAAAATCTAGAAAATATCGTGAAAATCGGTCATGGGTCAGGAAATTCCGTGTACGTCAAGCATTTTTCAACTACATGCAGTTTAGCTCGTGCAAAAAGAAACATTTGACATATTGGGACTTATTTCTATCAAACGGAACCAAGCGCCGTAGGGGGAGGAAGAGAGAGGGGGGCTTGGATTGGCGAGTGTTGCGGAACTCGATACTTGTTCCGTCCTATACTCGCAATGCTTTTCCTTGGCGTTTAGCTCCGTTTGACAGAACGCGCTATCTGGTATTCTAAAATCCTCAAAAGGAACTCAATTTGGCGCTTAGTTCCGTTTAACAGAAATACGTCCATTTCATTAAAGTATGTTGGCTTGTAAAATTAAATGAGTGTTAATTTATTTGTTCATAAAATCAGGCAATTCATTTAAAATATCAGAAACACATAAAGAAAATCTAAAATGAAATTTTAGGAGACACCCCAGAGCTACAAAACCTCAAGTGCTATACAATTATTTTAAAAAAATGTGTCCAATAATAATAATTAAGCCTATATGCCTCTGAATACTTTGTATTAAACACAATTATTAATATGTATACTGATGTACCACCAATTATTACTTTTATGGAATATAAGTATTCAAAGGCATCTAGGCCTAATTATCATTATTAGTCACTACGAAAAAGAGATGTAGTTATAAATAGATGAAATATGCAACATTATAATATACTAAAAAAAAAACATTCTTCCTCTATTCCTACTTATTTCTTCACCACTGTGTCTCTTTCTTAAACCAAGTACATTTACTCCTGCAGAAACACCTTTGACGTACGCGACTGGAATCAAGAAACCGGGGAAAGTGCTGATGGCGTTGGTGAACGGTGGTGCATTGCTCGATTACCGGACAAAGGATGGCTCAACTGCGATGCACAGGGCTGTAGAACACAACAGCTTAGAGGCGGTGACCACACTACTTGAGTTAGGAGCCTCGCCTAACTATCGTGATAGCAAAGGCCTGACCCCGCTCTACTTGGCCGTCACCCATGCCACGGACCCCCTTATCTGTGGTGGCCTCCTTCATGACCGCTCAATGATCGGTGCTCAAGACTTGCAGGGCTGGCAAGAGGTTCACCAGGTAAGTTCCAAAGATAAGATAAGATATATTTATTTCAAAAGGAAGACAAAGAGAATGTAAAAGCAGCACGAAACAGAAACGACAATGGAAAACACAGGAAAAAGCGGAAACAAGGCTAAAATACAAAATATAATGTAACGCTGTTTGCTGGTTTTTACTTTAATTTCTTTTTTATTTTTAATTCTTTTTTAGCAGTTGATAATGGTGCTGTAAGGTACCAAAACGTCCTGCCTTTATATTTTGTTTTTTAGCCTTGTTTCCGCTTTTTCCTGTATTTTCGATCATTCCAAAAGGTAAAGCATAAAAGAAAAAACAACGTTATTCTGCCCACGGTAAATTGAAATATCCAATCAATCTGCCGGATTATATGTTAAAATAAATGCAAATGATAAATACAAAGAAAAAAAAATAATAAAATAAGTATACAGTGGCATAAATTAAAACTAGAGTAAGACACAAATAAAATGTATATTAATTAAATACAGAAAAGAAGAAGAAGAAAATTTTAAAAAAAAGGAATAAAATAGTATAATTTGAAATAAAATCATAAAAGAAATTGGAAAAAGGAAAAAAAAGTAAGAATTAATATTGAAGAATTAAATAAAAAAAAGGAGAGAAATTAAAAATAAAAAGAAAGAAGAAAAGAAAAATAAGTCATCGTCTTTTCAGTTTTGACTCTGTAGGGAACCAAAACACGGTGTCTAGGATCGAGGAAAACCTAGATTCATTAGGGAATGAAAAATTTCAGGGAAAATCAGCTTAAAATCAGGGAATCTGCTCCAAAAACCAGGAATCTTTTCTTTAACTGCGTAGGGACTGTTTCGTTTTCAAATTTAGCCGCTATGATTGACCTCTTGAAAGACATGTTTGAATCTCCAAATCATCAGAATAATGAGGTAGCTTCATGGAACAGCTAATAAGATAATCAGGAACACTTTTGGAATTAAACATTTGAATGTGCGCCAGAGAATGGTATGGAAGATGGAAAAAAAAGGAAGAAAAAAATCGGTTCTTATGTCTGGAATTTCATAGAATTAAATAGTTTTTCCCAAGAAATTTCTGGGGAAGTGGGAGAGAAATAACTTCGGTCTCTTAACGGGGAATGAGCTCCTGAAAATCAGGGTTTTTAACAAAGTCAAGGATTCTGAACACCATGAATTAAAGGAAAAGGGTAGAGTCAGTAAAGCTTAATTGTATTGTAACCTTCCGAAGTTTCACTCAAAATTGTTGGAAATTTTTTTCAAGTTTTGAGAGAAATTTCAGACACTTTTTATATGAAACATTCGCTGGTTAATGAATGAATTGATCGGTGAAAAATTTGCAACAAGGTTTGCATACAATTATCTTTATCAACTGTGTCTCGTCCCGTACAAAGCATTTTCAACCTCAATAAAATTGTTAAGTTTAGATGTAGTTGAGTTAAATCTTTCATTCCTGCGTCATTTGTTTAATTTCCATCACTTTTTTCCATTTTCAAGGCTTGTCGAAATGGACTAGTGCAACATTTAGAACATCTCCTCTTCTATGGTGCAGACATGAACGCTCAAAACGCATCCGGCAACACACCACTTCACGTCTGTGCAGTGAACAACCAAGAATCTTGCGCTAGGTTATTACTCTTCCGTGGGTGCCACAAAGAGGCGCTAAACTTCGCAAATCAAACAGCGTACCAAGTGGCTGTTATTGCTGGTAACCTAGAGTTAGCTGAAATCATTCAGAACCATCGCCCGGAGAATGTTGGTAAGTCCCTTGACAAACAGAACCTCCACGTGAGAGTGAGTTACAATGAATGCAGTTACTGGCCAGTCTAGTTATAAATAAATCATTGTTTTTAACTAAAATTCATAATAGTTATGTTTATGCAAGGCTCAAAATTGGAGGTTAAATAAATTGTGAGTTTGATATTACAGTTTCCATTTATTCTAGTTATTCAAGCCCTGTAATCAAAGTCTCTTCGCAAATCACTTTTTCCCAATTCTGCACCATTTATGATTGTGCTTTACAGACCTAGATCTCACATGCTTTTTCAAATAAAATTATGGTACTTTATATGCTTATTTTGTTGACAAATATTCCTGAAAATGATGTGTATTTTCCTTAAAAAATTCACCATTGTCTTCCATTTAAAAGAAAAAAAATTATACAAATTAAATTCAATTCAATTATAACAATCAAAATTCAGTCATTTCTATGATGTATGCACCATCAGCAGTCAATTTTTAAAAGCATTCTGTCCTGCAAGCAAGATAAAATAAGCTATTAGTCAAAATCAAAATGACACCTGCAGCAATTTGATCCTTTGAGAAGTGAGCGAGCATATCTACCCACAAATTTTTTATTTTATCTCAAGTCAGTTTGTGCAAAGTGCCATCAGAGCCAAATTTCAATCACAAAGTAGGGAAACCCACCTCTGGCCTGTGATGCTTAGTTTATAGCAAAATTGAAAGTACGAACTAATAGCCGTTTGATTCCTGTGTTGTTCACTAACACTATGTCAAAATGGGAACCTCAATTTCAAACTCACACCTCAATTAAAATGAATTTGTCTTGTGTAAACACAGCTATTAATTTCAATACATTCCTCAGGTTTTATAACAAATTATTTTTCTATTTCATACCCTTTTTTGCATCGAATGATTGATATTTAATGAATAAATTCAGAATCAAGAATAGCAAAGCATGTTTGCATATTGTCATCAGAGTTTTTGCTCAGCCACTTTCTGCATAAACTAGGGAAGAAAGCGAACCTCAAAGAAATGACAGCTGCAGATTCACTGTCTCTGCATGGCAGGAACCAATTCATCATTAAAGATGCATGAGTTGTCTGAAAAATTAAAAAAAGTTACATCTGTCATAGTCTTAATTACCAACAGCTTTATCATGTCGGAAATTATCGCCAGATAAATTTTAGCATAGATTGTCACTACGTGTATCGTTCAAATTTTTTGCCTGCGTTTAGATGTTCTTTGGTGTAGTTGTAGAAAGCAAAATGTAGTGCATGATTTGTGTAGTCTGTTATTTGCCATTAGTGTGCGATTGCTGCATTGGTAGAATATATTTCAGATCTCTTTGTTTTCTACCCTCGAAAAATTATCTTACCTTGTTATGCTAGAATAGCAGTATGGGCACAGCTGAAGAGGGCCCAGTTGGCTTAAGGGGTACCCAGGAGGAAGAGCAACACAAAACAAGAAATTAAAATTTGTGTTTTTTCCCCACAATTTTGCATTTTTACAATGTTTCTCCAATTTTTTTTTCTTGGGGGGGGGGGGGGCTAAATATTGCTATCTTTGTGGAGCCTTTAGTAAACCTGGTTTTACCTTGGGTACAGGGAGCAAAAATGTTTAGTTTGATCATTCGACTATTTTTTCTTTTAAGTCATTTGAGTTCTTCCCTCTGTTCTTGGTTTCATCAGACCATTTTTATTTGTTGCCTCTGACTGTCATAAACTTCCATAGCTCGGTCGCTTAAAACTAAATTAATTTGGCCCGGATTTATTTTTTCCTTTCCCCTTTCAAGATAAGCCACAAAAAATCAATGGTTCAAACATTTATTTTTTCTCTTCATTTTACTGTCGTTTGAGTTTCATCTTTCAATTTTCAAGTTTCTGTTTGGATCCTTTTTTCCCTCTGTTCATGTCTTCTTTTCATAGCCATAGTATTTTTTTTTCCTGCTCTTAAACCAAAATTTATGTTTGATTTTTCGTCTGATTGGTTTGACTAGAATAATTGAGAAGAGTTTGAGTTTTGCAGAGTGTCTTTACTTTTGGTTAAATTTCTGTAAGTTTCTAAGCACATAAAAGCAGACAAGGATGTATGTCTCAGCTGTAATGTGTCTCTCACTTATGCTCTTGTGGAAAATACACATAATGTTAGAAGACAAGAGAGGACCTAAAGTGTACAGAAAATATCATTCGGAATTACAGAAACTGTGTTTTTTAATATTTTAAAGATCTTTTGTTGATGCTGGTTTGAGCAAAAGAGAATAAAAGAAAATAAAATAAACCCTTCACATAATTTTCAGAAAAAAATTTGTATACGATCACCATTCAATCGTAAAATTGGATTTTCCCCCTAAAATAGCTCTATTCATTTTACCTGTAAAATTCTCAGCACTTTCACATTCACAGCATATACCTACTGAACAAGAATGTCTTTTCATTCAGAAGAAGAGAGAAAAAGTGAGAAAGAGTGAGAAAGAGTGAGAAAGAACAACCATTTTGCACAGCGGAAGGTTTTAAGAAAACTCAAGCACTCAAGAATTTTATTCAACTGATCGTAATATACCTGAACAAAATTGAGCTGCCCCGATTCCTTCTCATTTATTTACTTTACTTGTAAAATTTCTTACATATTGGCATTCACAGTATATACTGAATGAGAATGCTTTTTTACTCAAAAGGAGAGAACGAGAATAAAGGGCAAGGAAAAATAAACCACAGTAGAAGGTTTCAAGAAAACTCAAGCACTCCAGAATTTTATTCAATTGATTTTAGATCCCCCAACGGCAAACAAGATTGAGCTTTCCCGATTTCTTTTAATTTCTCAGTTTTTTATTGGGTTTTCGCTTATGTTGTTTTTTTGGTTTCGATTTTCTTTTCATTGAATTTGTTTTCAGTCCCATTCCGGGAGCCTCCAAGGTACAATCCGCGGCGGCGCAGTTGTATAATTCGCGGAGGGCTCAATGGGGGGGAGCCCTTCCTGGAGTTCCCTCCATCGCCGTCCCCCTCAAATCGATCGTCCATGGGACCCTTCTTCAGCTCGGCCTCGTCGAGTCTTAGCGAAGCCAGCTCTAGCTCGGCGTCGACCAACAAGACGGAAGACACTGCAAGCTACGTCACAGGTAATTAGAATATCAAACTCAACGGAGACACTTGAACATAACTGCGCGCAAATCAGTGAATCAATAGTCCTCAAGTGAGTCATCTTTTCAGGAAAATACAAATCTTAAAGCTCTCAAATAATTTGGATCAATTATCTGGTTTGATCAGTGTAGCAGGCAAGGCTATTGGTAAAGTATTTAAAATTTGAGAAACTTAGGAGTGTTTGCAGCACAAATTTATGTTTTATCAACAAAGTAAATGGCAAGATTTTTTTGTCAGAGAGTTTAAAGATTTTCAATGCCTGGAATATATCCAAGAAACTGACCAGAAATATTGCAATATGGCTACCTTCTTCTCTAATTTCTTCGTATCTCTACTTTTATCTTACCCTGCTACAGGTGGTTTTATTTCCACTGAAGTTGGACCAGGCTTTTTACCGAATGCTGAAAAAGCACAAAATATAAAATTCATATTTGTTTTTAGTCATGGATCCAAAGCATGCTTTTTTCCCGGGTCAAATTCTTCCATCTTACAAAATTTTAAGGTGCCTTTTACCTTATGGATTTTACATACCTAGGATGACATTGGTTGTGGTTATCTGTCTCTACTTTTCTATCACAAATAAACTAATTTTTGATTCATTTAGCAAATCAGCCTTTTGATAACTCTCTAGTACCAATTGTGGAAAAAGGTATTTAAGCTCAAAAAAACCAACATTGCGTATCAGTACTGTGGCTTAAAGGAATCTTTCTTATACATTGGCTCAAGAAATTTCAAAAATATCAAACAAAACTGTAAAGCTGAGTATAAAATATTATTGTCGACTGGTGTTGCATACCTATTTTACAAGAAAATTTCATAAGAAAACATGTATTAGAGTGATTTATTTCTTACTAAGTCTACTGGTCTGGTACTCAGTTTTCATTTCCATGACAAGAAGGGTGCATGTTTGCTAAATGTATCAAAGCTGCAGAAAATGTGGTATCTCTCCCCTGAAATAAAATTATTCCCATAGTTTTTCGGTTAACTATTGTTGGCTCTTTTCTATCGCAGCATGCTCAAATATTCAAGCCATTCTATGTATGTATCATCTCATGTTCCAGCGTCACTTTTTTTTCTTCTAATTAAAGAGAATGACTGTCGAACCTTCTAGCTCATTTTTTGGCATTTTTACTGATCCTATTTTGCACTAGGTATCCTCAATCAAACAATATTGTTGGAATCTTTTGTGCAGCTATAGTTTAAATTTTTATCTTTATGTAGGTTGCATAACGGCTTTAAAAAAAATATTTTGCTTTTTAAATGTTCCATAGTTGAAGCTTTAGGCTTGAATGAATGCCTGTTGCCTGTCAGTATTTTCAATCCCTTTCTAGCAATTACTCTTCAAATTATTATTTCTTTAAATGCAAAAGGTTATTCAAGGAATTTACATACATACATAAAGTCGCGATTATAGCGCCGCCTCGCGCTCTGCGACGCCCAATCGCCATTGCCCCCTATCCTCCCAGAGATCATCAGGCAATTGGCACCTTCTGATCTCCTCCTCCACCCCTTGTCGCCAACCTTTCACAGGACGTCCACGCCGTCGCCTTCCGGGAGGAACCCAATCGAAGACCTGCTTGGGCAACCGATCATCTGCCATCCTTCGCACATGTCCATACCAGACCAACTGCTTGGACCTGATATCGTGCACGATGTCCTTTTCCACACCCATTATCTCGCGTACCCTTTCATTGCGGATACGCTCTCTTCTCGATATCCCAGCAGACCTTCGCCAAAAGTCCATCTCGGTTGCCCTAAGCATGTCTTCAGTTCTTTTCTTAAGTTGCCAGACCTCACTCCCGTAAGTTACGATACTCTTCACGATGACGTTGTAAATTTTCCTTTTGGTCTCCTTGGAGATACTCTGGTCCCAGAGAACCCCATTTAGCATCGCGATAGCTTTCCTGCCTTGCACATTCCGATCAAGGAATTTTCCTTTTCTGTTTCAAGTCAAATCCATTCGTAGATTTCAAACTTATGGATGTAAAATTTATTTATTAATCAGCATCTAATGAATTTAAAATTGATGTTTTTAGTTCTCTCGTCAAATAACAGTCATCTTAATTTTTTCGTCAAAATCTCATCTTTCAGACTTTTGCGTGTTAGAAAATACCTGCTCTATTCATAGCGTCAAAATCTGTTTTTTTCGGGCTGCATTTTAGTAATTTTTTCACCGTGCAAATCTCTCCATTATGTTTCAGTATTTTGATTAATTGAAGCCAGGTACAGGATGCAAGAGCTTAATATTATTTGATTCTTGTAAATCATTTTTTTCGTCTGTCTCAGTCAGAGTATTTTTTTTTTAAATTTTCAGCATTGAAAAATTGTTTTCCCTGTGATTTCACCTCTTTTTCTCTTTTAATACTCTGTCTATGAGGAAATTGTCGTATATTGTAGAAATTTAATTCAAAGTAGCAGTTACATGACTGAAGTTTTTGTATAATTTTAAACTTTTATAAAAGTGAACCATCAGATTGTTTTAATACTGTTTTAATTTAATTTGATTTTGAAAAATTCATGTATGGTGTGTTTCATAAGAAATTTCAAAGCACCAATTTGCTTCTCTTGTTGGAAACCCTGTAACCAGTGTCGCATTAATGCATTTCTTTAATTGAAATCATGAATTTAATATTGATTTATTTATGAATAATTATTCCCTCTCTTATTTGTTCCCAGACAAAAGCATGGGTGACACAAGTGACATAATCAGTGATAGCTCAGGAGTTGGCACATCAAACAGCGATACAACTGTATCGATTAGTTTACCTGGTACTGTGGTTGTTTGTACCGAGAACTACACAGCAACACAACCTGGACACCTGTCAGTCGCTCAAGGAGACCTTATAGAAGGTAAGATTGTATGTCCTAATAGACAGGTGGATTGGTGGTTGCACAAGATGAGAAAGTATTTAAGATTCAAATTGCCTCCTAAAGATGATTTTTTGTAGAAATAACAAAGGCAATGACTTGAATAGGGTGTCTAGCATCAGGATTTTCCCAATTTTCCCTGTTCTATCAAGATTTGAGGTCAATCAGGATTTAATCCCGATTTCATCAGGATTTGAGGAAAAATCGGTTGTAAAATGAGGATTTGAGAAAAGTCGGCCCTCCGATCGGATTTTTTTATCAAGCTTTTTTCGTGAAGTTATATTCGCCAATTTTTCTTCGCAAAAAATCAGGATTTGGTAATATTAGGAAATCAGGATTTAGCAGTCAAAAATCAGGAAAAATCAGGTTTTCATAAGAATTTTCCAATATAAAAAAAACTAGACACCCTGTTAAAAGTTTTAAATATAGTCTAAAGTCTTAAAAATCTTTAAAATTTTACCCAACTCCACTTAAATTTGAAAATTATACACTTAAAAAACTGCATTCTTAAAAATTTGCAACAGGAAACAAAAAGCCCTTTTCCCGTTGATTGTCAAATTTTTTTCTCTTTTTCATCTCTTTTTTTCTTGTCTCTTTATTTTCTATTGTTTATATTTTTTTCTCATCCTGTGCTTTTTTTAATGCAGTGACAGGAGCAACAGACTGTGGCCTCTTGGAAGGAAACATTCAGGGAAATCCAACATCTGGGCTGTTTCCAGCACATTGCGTCCAGGAAATGAGAGGAACGCAGCCAACCACCGCTACCATCAACATTCACCCGAGAGTCTCAGGACGCCGGGAGTCAGTAGTCAATAAGCACTTTGCCACCGCACCACGCCACAAAAAACAGTACGCATTATTATGTTCCTTCTTGATCCTTTACTTAGAAGAGAAAGTTATACATATCGCCTAAAAGCACCTTCGTCACTCTTCCTTAAAACGGAGAATAATTTTAACATCAACTGTTGGTTCTGTTTTTCAAGTCATGGAAAGAAACTCTCAGGAAATCCATTAAATTTCAAACTATGGATTCTTAATGCCAACTATGAAGCTATATTCTCGAGAAAAAAGATACATTAGCAGTGCTCTTTTAAACGCTCATCTATTGCTGTAATTTGTAACCATGCCACAAAAAATAGTACGGATTATTACGTTCCTTTTTGATTCTTTACTTAAAAGAGAAAGTTATGCATATCGCCTGAAAGCACCTTTGCCACGCTTCATTAAAACGGAGAATAACTTTAACATCAACTGTTGGCTCAGTTCAAGTCATGAAAAGAAACTCTCAGGAAACCCATTAAATTTCAAACTATGGATTCTTAATGCCAACTTTGAAGTTATATTCTGGAAAAAAAAAGATACCTTAGCAGTGCTCTTTTAAAAGCTTATATATTGCTGTAATTTAAAGTTTGTAATGAAAATGTAAATTATTTCTAAAAGCGTGTATTTACAAATCAAAAAAAGAAACTTGTAGAAGCTTTGTAGAAGTTTTTAGTTGTTTGTCTTTACTTTTAAAAATGTATGATCCTGTGGCAAAGAATTCTCCTCCTCATTTTTGTCTACTATTTTTGAAGACCATGTACATATTTTAGTATCAGTGCGACGGCTGAATTAAAAAAGATGTAGCTGTTTGCTTTGTTGCAATTTTTCCGCCGTATTAATTTTTTTTGAGAGGTAAATCAGCTTAATCTTTTTGAAATTTTCATGATTTTCCTCTGCATTTGAAAAAAAAAAAATCGGTAAAAATTTCAAGCTATGAAGTTTGCCTGTTTTCCTTTCTGGAATTAATTCCTTTGATCCTGTGCAATTACAATGTATGGTTTCATGTATGGCCATCGGTATCCTTTTTTGTCCATCTAAGAGCCTTTTTGTTGCGGCAGGTTACCAGCAGAACCACGAACCGTTGTACTGCACCGAGCGAGGCGTGGGTTTGGCTTTGTCTTGCGGGGAGCGAAAGCCACGTCTCCTCTGATGGAGCTCGAGCCGTCGGATCGTTGTCCAGCACTCCAGTACCTCGATGACGTTGACAAGGGAGGCGTAGCTGACCTAGCTGGTCTCAAAAAAGGCGACTACCTCATAGCTGTGAGTATTGAATCCCACAGGCGATATTTCCTTAGAAAAACTGAAACAAAACCCTAAGAATTTTCTACTTTTGGGTGTTTCAAGTAGATTGCATGTAATAAAATCGATCGGTCAATTTCTTTTCTTCTTGTCCAATTTCACACTCAATTAGCGCAAACATATTCTATCGGAAAACGTAAGTCTCACCTGAAATTTTAGTGCACAAAGCTTTTTCAAGAGAATAAAACTGGCTCATTAAATTAAATATTTAATTCAATAATTTTTATTGTCTTTCCTGCCATCCATGTCAACAAAAAATGCAACTTGAGGTGGAAACAGTTGTTGCATACCCCCCCCCCCTCAAAAANAAAAAAAAAAAAAAAAAAAAAATACAATAGCAGTCTCATTCATGTCAGAAAATGCAACTTTTGCGGCAAAAAATTGATTCATGTCAAAAAATGCAACTTTTGCTGCAAAAATTTGTCACTTACAAAGAAAAAACCTAAAATTGTAGTTTAAAAAAGATTTAAAAGTACCCAAAGTGATAAAAAACTGTTTTTTCAATGTATATTTGGAACCAATTTTTTCAATATATATTTGGTTTTAACCATAGTGATTACTCATCTTGATAAATTCATCGTTTCAAGGTATAATTAAGTGTGCACCTATGCATGTATTTAATTTGTAATTCAAATATTTCTGATTATTATTGTTTCTTCAGATAAATGGAGAGGATGTTTCTGCAGCTTCCCACGAACGAGTCGTAGAATTAATTCGAAGTTCCGGTGACCTGGTTTCGATGACAGTCGTGTCATTGGGTGCCATTCCTAGCTCTAAATCAGCAGCAACACTTTCGGAAATAACTCCTAATCCGCGTCAGTATGCAACTCTGCCGCGGAAACTCAATAACTTTGCAACATTAGGTAAGTGCTTTTTAGAGAAAATCAATTCGTCATCAATAAATTTAAATGACTAATTAACAGTTTTTTGCAGTAGCTAAGTGATTAACGGAAATAGTGTATTTTTCTAGTTGTCAAGGGAAGAGTCACCTGTCCATCTCGGTGAACTTTTCATGAGAACGAAAAGTAATCAATCGTAAAATAATTATTCCTTTGTTGAACATTCCAGTTGAACACTCCCACTCAGTTGAACACAGGATTCCAACACTGAATGATAATAAATGGTGCACCTCGTCAACTTAACAACCCTGAAAAACAAATTTCGTGAAAAATCAAACCTGTGTTTCATAGTCTAGCCTTTCCGTTTAATCAAATTTTCAATATCTTCTTAATCATCAATTTTTCAAACCGGTAGATGTTCATGGAAAAATAAATTCCTCTCATATTACGTTTTTGGGTTTATGCCATAGAATTTTTGGGCGTACCTGTAAAATTAGTGGACTCAAGTTTTCATTTTCTTCGCTTTCTTTTACAGGTCGTTCTACTGCAGCACCTTTACCTCCTCGTCGGAATCCAAAAACCACTCTAAGCATAGGCAAAGCAAGAGCAAAATCAATGATATTTGGTACGTTATTAAAAAATTTACCTTGACTAGTTTACGTTCACTCGTTCATTCACAGTTCTAAAAATATAGGTACCACCTTTTTTTTTGTAGTGCACTCACATTCTCTACTTTATATTAGTATAAATAAATATTTCGAGGAGAAATTTGACAACACATGAATTCTCATTCGCGTTTTTCCAGAGGATGGCAGTACAGGAGTTCAAAGAAAACCAGAATTTATTCGTTACCCCTAAGATTTCGCTAAAAGCGAGTCTTTCATGCAAGGATCTAACTTCAATGAATCTCTCCAATCATTCTATAGAAAGTTAAAGTTAAGCAGGTCATATTGGCAATGCGACAAACATAATTGAACACTGAAAAGTACATTATAAATGTTGCCAGTATCAGTGAAACATTTTCAATGTTACCAGCGTCAGTGAAAACAATCAAAATGATAATTTAGCAGAGCTTCCTTCATGAACCTGATCAATTTAATTAGTATAGTGTTCTTTTTTGTTTTGTAGAGGACATCAGGAAGGACGAAAAGGAGAAAAACCTAGAAAATCAAATTCGGACGATTTCCATTCGAAATCGGCCAACTTCAGGGAGAATAACCGCTGTTGAGTTAGAGGAGCTTTTCCAGAGACAGCAGAGTGATATCGGCCAAACGAGTATGATGGTCACCTCAGTCTATGCTGTAAGTTTTCCTGTTTATTTCTACCATTATTTTTGTGTCTTTCCTCTTATTTCAATGATGTGTAAAGCAGTGACAAGGCATGAATAATCAATTATCAATATCTCCCCATTTGAAGCTATGGTAAAGAATCGATTATTAAATTGTTTGTTGCAAACACCCTATTTTTCGATCCTTTTCCGTAGCTTTAATCAACAGAATAATTGATGTATCACTAAGCATGCTACGCCACTGGTATAAAGGTTGTATTTATAGTTGTTCTTTAAACATTAAGGCCTCTTCAAGCGATCAGAATTGCATTGGTTAACGAAGCCTTATCATTTAAGAAACAACTATGATTACAACCCTATGAACTTTCAATGTCTGAGAGATGACTGTCCTGGCAGTCTGAAAGCATAATATTTCCTTATTATCATGAGAACAGGCTGAGACTGCCAATTATTTTTTAATATTTTGCAATTAATTTTGAAAGGGACCATTTTGTCCGTTTTTTGGGCGTAGATTCTTGATTAAATAATGGATTTTCGATAAAATTTGGGAGGAAGCAAGAGTGAAGGCTAAGCCTGACTTACCGTGAAAATAAACTTGCTCAGGATTAACATTTGTTTAACATACCTGCATTTCAATGGCCAAAGTGTGAAACCATGTAGCTCCGTTTGCGATATAGCAAACTTCCTGTCATACTTTATTTTTTTATTTGGAGAACTGGGCAGCATAATTTCTTTAAAACTTTGTTGAATTTTCCTCTCTGTCAGCAGAATATTCTGTATAATTTTCAAGCTACAAAGTTGGCTTGTTTCCCTTCAAAATATTAAAGGAGTAGTGGCAATTTTGAAACACAGTGGACACAAAACAGTGGAGATACGTTGTTTCACACTTTGGCCAATGATTTACAGCTTCGATAATTCAGATGTTTTGAAAAAATAGATACCATGAGCGACAACATCAGTTCTGGATCATAAATATGTTCTTTGGGGCATTCAAATCGCGTTGCAGGATGTGATTCTCTTGCTTCTTCCCTCTGGAGTTGTGGTTAGCATCCAGGTTTTTACCAGGAAAATGAAATGTTTACTTTTTGCATAAATGTAATTTCTTTATTCATTGATCATATTTTTTATGTTTATTTTTTACATTTTTTCTTATGTTTTGAAACAGAATGGAATTCCAAGGCCACCCTCACCAACATCCTCTCTTAGAACACCTCGGGTGTATGCAAGTGTCGCTGAAATGAAACGTAGCAAAGGAAAAGTAAGTTAACTCTTAATAAATTTTAGTTTACTTTTTGATATTTTTAGAATGAGATTTGTTTCTCTGATGATTAGATATCTATAAGGGTGCTAATTCTGAGCTGGTTAAGGGGGCATGATAGACGGGTCCCATAGGATCCATGAAAGGGGGAGAGTTTGACTGGTAAATTTTTTAGTCACAGTTCCAGGCTTCTAGTAGAATTATTTTGTCCTAGAAAGAGCGACGCCAAGAATGGCACAATTTGGGCCAGAAGGGATTTTTCTGAAACCGGGCCCAAACGATACCTTATGATACCCTAAAACTCTGGTTAAAATTTTAGCTTGAGTATACGCACGGTTTTTGAGAAATGAGGGGGCAAAGTTGCCAAATCGCCATCATTCTGGACAGCATTTCTACAGCAAAAAGACGGGAAAAATGGACGAAAAAGTTACACCTTTGATGGGTTTCGGCTGTAAATGTTCTTATTGGGCTCCCAAGCATTTAACTGTGTTCAGTTTCAAAAATTTTGATCGCAAAGTGGTCCAAAGTGGGGAGAAATCGTCGACAAATCAGAATTCTTTGTCAAATTTTTAAAAATGGAAATAAAATTGTCGGTCTGCTGCAGTTTTCATGGCTAACAATGTTCTTATCGGCCCTCAATGCATGAAATTGTGTTCAGCTTCACAAATTTACATCGCACAGTGGTCAAAATGACAGAATTAGTGGACAAATTAAGATCCTCTGTGAAACTTTTTAAAAGTGGAGTGAAACTGTTGGTCCCCAGTAGAGTTTAGATCCCGGAAAAATTCATGTATTTAATTTTCTTAATTATTACTGCATGTCAGACTGTATTGTCTACAGAACGTTGTTATAGAATAGACTTTATAGCATTATCTCAATAAAATATGCAAACTTTCAGAAATTTAAGAAAATAATGAAAAATTAAAAAATGATTTAAACAGTCCGAAAAATAATTTAAATAATTTTTCCGGGATCTAAACTCTACTGGGGACCAACAGTTTCACTCCACTTTTAAAAAGTTTCACAGAGGATCTTAATTTGTCCACTAATTCTGTCATTTTGACCACTGTGCGATGTAAATTTGTGAAGCTGAACACAATTTCATGCATTGAGGGCCGATAAGAACATTGTTAGCCATGAAAACTGCAGCAGACCGACAATTTTATTTCCATTTTTAAAAATTTGACAAAGAATTCTGATTTGTCGACGATTTCTCCCCACTTTGGACCACTGTGCGATCAAAATTTTTGAAACTGAACACAGTTAAATGCTTGGGGGCCCAATAAGAACATTTACAGCCGAAACCCATCAAAGGTGTAACTTTTTCGTCCATTTTTCCCGTCTTTTTGCTGTAGAAATGCTGTCCAGAATGATGGCGATTTGGCATCTTTGCCCCCTCATTTCTCAAAAACTGTGCGTATACTCAAGCTAAAATTTTAACCAGAGTTTTAGGGTATCATAAGGTATTGTTTGGGCCCGGTTTCAGAAAAATCCCTTCCGGCCCAAATTGTGCCAAAAAACGGTCGTTTTTGGCGTCGCTCTTTGTATATAGAATTAGAATCAACAAATTAATATGATAGAGATAAATCCTTTCAAGTCTTGTTTTTTTGCTATGTAGATATCGATGGCCAAATCGCGAAATATGTATTTCCATTGGGATTTTTCAAAATCTCCACTTCAATCTTATTTTTTTGAAAAAATACATGCTACCTTTATAGTTTGAAAACTATTCCCAGCATTTTGCTAATAGAGGAGAAATATCAAGGAAGTTTTCAAGCATTTACGTCGACTCCAGAGAAAAAATAAACTGTAACAAGAAGTTTGTAATATCGTGGTCGGAGATAATTGGTTTTGCACTTTGGCTTTTACTTTATCATTATTCAGAAATATTTTTTGCAATTCTTTTTACATGTGATTTGATTGTGCAATGAAAAGGGATCGTAGTCAGTTGAAGTAAAATTTCCAGCAGAGCAATTTTTCTCGAATTGGGTAAAAAAATTGGATGTTGAGGTTTCGAAAGAAACTCTCCAAAGTTGTGATAAGTAAGTTTTGAGCTGTTATCATTATTTTTGTGTTCGGAAAGGATTTAAAGCTGCAATATTATTCAACAACTTTGTGGGTGAAACATGACAGTAGAATTTTGAGCAATTTTCTCTTAAAATAGTGTTCTGAAACTGAAAATTTCAAACTGCCAGAAATTCAGTTTAATTTAACGTTTTGAAAGGTTTTGACCCAAAAATATATGCAGAGCATTTCAACAACTTAATTTTAATTTTTGTGGACTATACTCTCATTTTCTTCGTCAGAAATGACTGTATTTTCTCGCCACATTTTAATCTAATTTCATGTTTTATTTCAGTCAAATTCTCGGGTAAGATTCAGTATAGCTGGCATTGGTGGCTTGAACGAATTGAAAAGGGATTTCCACAGCACACCTGATCTCACAGGGAAGCTGAACGGTGTTTCGAACGGTGTTTCAACTTTTGCGCCCCGAACACACCGGAGTCAAGAAGATATTCCATCGAAATCGCAGTCATTGCTACCACCTCCCAACCATCCCCCTCCTCCTCCACCCGGTCAGTTAATCAAAGTTGAAATCAAAAACGGGAGTGAGTGTGACTACGGGAGTATCACTTCTTCGGAACATTCAACTAATGGTATGTTTCCATCAGTAACGTTTCATCAGCATACATTAAAGTTTTTTTACAGTTTGATTTGACAAGCGTTAAAATTGTATACTGTCTGACCTGAAATACTTATGATTATGGAGGCTGGTTTACGTCAGGGTTTTATGCTTAATTTGAGACGTACCTCTTCACCGACTATTAATGAAGAGAGTCCCTCAAACACAGGCAATCAAATTACTCATTATTTTAAGATATTATTTTAGCAAAACAATATTAATGGATGTTAGGAATGACAGGTCAGCAATGAGAGACGTAAATGAACTCATGAAGAATAGAGCTAAGAGGGATACAGTAAACAGAACATCCTCATGATTAAGTTTTACATAGTGAAACTTTGACTTACTTTTTGAAAAAAAGAGCCTCTCACACCGTAAGTTAAAAGTAAGCGTTTGTTGCTCGACGGATGAAGAACAAGAGTATCAAGAGAGGCAAATGACAAGGGGAAAAATAACTTGTAAGTGAGAAACTGTCCCCCTAAGTTTCACCCCTCTGTGAGATAAAGCACCATAGAAAAGGGAATGTCTAACTGAGGGTATTGTTTTCTTTGTTTCAGTAGGTAAAGAAGGTATCATGTCAAGTTTCAAGCCTACGAACAGTGCCAAGCTGTACGCATCTCCTGAGGATGTTAAAATGGTCGGCTTTCGATCACACTCACTTCCTCCAAGTTCTGCACGACCGCAGGTGATTAAAATACCAAATCGTTTTCTCCCCTCTTTGTTACAAGTAATATTTTAATTGTATGTTTTAATTAATTGGTAACTAAAAACTAGTGGAATCGTGTTTTTGATCTCTCTATTTTTTTTAATTTTGTTTTATACACTTGATAATGAGGCTTATCTCAATGGCAACAAGCAAAAATTGTAATTGTTGTAAGTATTCCGATTCAACCGAAGACTCTTCTTCTAAAATTATACTAAGGGTGGAGTTAAAGCTTTTAATCTTCAAAGGAAAAAAGTGAAATAATTCAGAAGTTAGACCTTTTTTTCCCTCAAGTAAATGCTTGCTTTTTAAAATCACATCACTATATCCAACACAAAACATGGTTAGAATTTTATGTGATGGCATCTTTTGATGAATGCCGAGCTACAGGCCAGCTTTATTAAGCAGTAAATGAATAGGGTCTCAGCTTCAGTCTCATGGTTTAGTAATAGGTTACCTTAAACAGCTAATGCCAAAGGACTTATAAAATTATTCTGTAATAGTCTGAAACTTAAAAAAAATAGAGCGGAAGAAGAAAGGGTTTCCAAGCTCTGAGAGAAATTCAAATGGTCTTAATTTTGGAGCCATCAATTGATGATATCAGGATCCTCAATAATCCCAAATTAAATAATACAAACTATTGATACTTTATTTGGACTGGTTATTTTTACTGGTCTTGGATTTTTCTTTTCTTTTTCTTTTTTGTATGTCTGTTAAACAGAGCTAATAATTTCTGTGATCGCCCCAAATCGTCAAATCTCAAAATTTTATTTATTTATTTTATTATGAACAGACGTAAACCGCTAAAAAAAAGAAGAGAAAAAATGTACAAGCAACAGTAGAACAGAGAGCATATGACACCATTAATTTTTAATAAAATAAAATAAAGTCTCTCAAAAATGTTAGAAAATAATTCGAACCTTTGGCTTTTCATCTCTCTAGGTACGGAAATCACACAGTGTGAGGTCAACCTCAGTGCATAAGCCATGTGCTCAGAATCAGGTTCCCAACGGCAATCAATATGCGACGACTGCCAAAGTATTCCGTAACTCCAAAAAGCGCTCCGTCTCACCAGCACCCCCAATTCCGAATCCAGACTACAGTTTAAGCGAGGAAGAGTCGGAAAACGAAACTGAAGTGGAAAAACCAGTCGAGGGTAGCGGCAATTCCAACTCCAGCTCCAACTCCAGCAGCAGCATGCCTCATTCACTCAGTGTTGAGGAAATCCAAAAGGTGCATACTCTTTTACTGTGTTTTTCAGAGGTATGAGAATTATAGATTTCAAGAGCGAAGTGAAAAGAAAGCAATTACAGCACAGCTTTGATTAAGCGGCAATAGATTACTCTTCAAGGTACAAATTTAGGCATTCTTATACATTTTTCCTTTTCAAAATTTCATGTAAAACACGTTTCTCGCAACGAAAACAACTGATCGTAACTTGAAATCAAGATAATAACGTTTAAATTCAGCATTGGTCACAAAAAATTTGCATTTACCGCTCACAAGAAAAATAAGAGTCTACTTGAGTCAAAATTCGCACTAGAACAGTTTTGGAAGGCTCCCCAATCAAGTAGTGTTCTGTCAACCCTTGTGTTGTTCAAAGTATAAAAAACATGGAACAGCTGAGCCAAAGCGCTGAGATTGAGGCCGCTATATTTTCATATGACAGAGACTGTTGTGGTAACATTTAGCAAGCCATTTAACTGAAGTAGATTATTGTTTTTTCTATAAGTGAGAAATTGTAATTTATGCATAGAAAAATGTTGATATCGTAGTCAAGAGTTACTTTCAGTAATTTTCGGTGTACAAATCGTATTCTACATGAAATTTTGATGAGATATCATAAATCAGAATGCCTAAATTTCTAACTTGTCTCATGATCCATTGGCGGCAGAGGAGCTTGCAGAATACAAAAAAATGCTGATTATTGAAAATGTCTGGTAAATTCCCAAAAAGTGATTTAGTATTTGCAATAGTACGAATATCAGTAGTTATTTACAAAATAATTTTGCAAAAGACAGAATACCAACTTGTAAACTTCAGGGTCCTCTAACTTTTAGGTGAACTATTTGCACAGTATTTCTGGTTGATTATTTGCTTCTATTTTTATTTACTCATTCCTATTGTTTTAACAAAATCACAAAACTTCCTATTCAAGATTCTTCAAAGGAAAAGGAGCCTTCAGGGCCATAGTGCCAAAAATCTTAAAATTGAATTGCAGGCAAAAATGTTGACACAAAAATGTCTAACTAAACTGATTTCATGACCGCTCGAACTGTTTTGTTTAAAACATCGTATTATGTTTTGTTTAAGATTCAAAATGTGCAAATTTCGATTCATTTTTTCACTCTCTGTTGCGTTGACCTAAAAAGAATTGAACTGCTTGGTACTGCGTGATATTCTTTCATGATACCGCAGAGTATTCGCCATCAAAAACCCAAATTCTGATTTTTCTGTCCCACTTTACGACAATTGCCCCCCTGAAAATTTTATAATAAAATCTCAAGGTTTTCTTTCCTATGCATAGTTAGAGACTTACCGACTGTTATCTTCTCTCACTCAATTTTTTAATTGTTGATTTTTGCAGGTAAGAACACAATTGCGCTCGTCAAAATCCTACCCGAACGATTTTCTACTGCAGAGTATTGAAGATGGTGACAACTCCTCAAGCGGTGTGAGCTCTGACCAAGAGCCATGTCCGTCTGCGGAAATGACGACGTCTCTCGACTCGTCAACTCTCCCACGCGTGAGTTTGCAGAGGACTGGGTTGACGCGAAACGCAGTGTCCCTGGCTCAGCTGCCACCTCCATTGGAACTGGATATGGAGGAGGTCGTTCCACCACCTCCGGAGTTTGTTGCAGCCAACAGCGCAGCCAGTGGGGATGTTGCCGAGGTCCTTGCTCCACCGCCGCAATTCTCCGACAACCGCCTGGTCACTCGTGTTAGGATCGTCAGTGCTGTACCCAAGCAGTGAGCATTTTCATACCATCTCCAATGAGCCAAAAAAAATGCCTATCGATTGCCACATTGCCAAATTCCCTGTAATAAAGTGCAAATTTTTTGGAAAACTGAAGAATGTTTTTCTTTGAATTTTTCAAAGATTTTCATTCGCACTTTAATCTTTTGTGTTTGAAAATTACAGGTCATAATATCCTTAACATAAATTGAAAATGTAAATTTTACGGGGGAAACTTGGCAATATTCAAATGCTCAGATGTTGCTCTTTCCTTGCAAGATAGTTATAACCGATTGAAGGAACTAAGGAGATGAATCCTTATCTGATCAAAATCATGGAAAACTGTATGTTTTCTGCGCTCCATTTTTTGTATTATTCAACAATTGCACGGAATTTCGTTTAGCCAGGTACCATTTGGCCCTTTTAGATTACTTAACAGTTTCATGAGTATCTAAGCATAGAGAGGAGATCACCTCAAAGAGGGTGCTGGTTCCAAACTTTAGCTGTGGTTGTTTTTTGATACCTATCCCAATCAGCATGAAAAGTAGAATTTTTCTATTACGTGTATTTGATTCTCATGATACTGAGGAAAAACGACTCTGAAAAGATGCATTTTCTTCCCTGTCGATGGTTTTTTCATGAAAAATAGGATGAATATACCTCATGCAACTCCCGAAATAGACTGTATGATCAAGGGTCGTTCCAAGCCTTGCGCTTGTGACTTGGTCAATAAATGAAATGATGTTCATGCCGCTTATTTCTGCAATTTGTTGCTGCAGCATAGAAACAGAAAGATCCTCCGTTGAGAAAAATATCAATTTACTCCAGTAATGAAAAGAAGAAACCGTCGTACAGATTCAAGTGAAAAAGTCATGAACTCCTTCATCAGAAAATGAAATTTGATTTCTTCAAGAAAAATCGGACAGTTTTTCAGATGTCATGGATGTGATGTGAGATCCAATTTTATGCCTTGCTTGTTTCACGGTTGTTCGAGAAGGCTATTGCTCCGCTACGTTGATTCAAAAATGTTTCCAAAACAATACGTTGATTGTTGTCTCCTTTCTTATCTCATCAATCAAAAATAATGGCTGATGAATTCAGTATCTTCTTTCCGTTTTTAAAAACTGCTATTTTCCAGATCAATTTGTTATCTTATATAGGATGAAAAAGTCACCAAATTTTTAAAATTAAAGTGAATTCAAGAATAAGATAGTGTATTTTAACCTGTAGTACTCAGGAACTTAGTGGTACCTATTTTAACCGTATTAACTTCTTGTTTTGAGTTTTATAAGCATCCAATTTAAAATTGGTTCTACAAGCTTATCACTGTGGTCAGTCCTAATGTTGTAACGAATCTATGGAGTTGAATAATGGCAATATTTTTACTTTATTAGATCAGTATGATTGATGGTTCGATTGAAATTTGTGGAAATGTTGTTGTGGATATCTGTTGAGTATGTCCATTTATTTCAAATCAACTTAAATGAAAGAAAAGAATAATTCAATTTTGTATCATTCCCTAAAAGAAAAGCGCTCGTCTTTTCTGAATCCTTTATTTTGTTCAGTCTTCTTATATGTACATTCCTGAATCCTTCGGAAAGTTTATTTTTTCAAAATTTTCATTGCTATATCTGTGTCTGGACTTTTTAGCCTTTTTTTAATTTTATAAATTAAAACATTCCTGCAAGGGGTCATATTTACTTTTTACAAGTTTTTTGCTGAAGGAAATCGATGATATTTATTAATTTACTTTCCTGTCGATCCTTGAATGAATTGGTAATTTTCGAGCTGGACAGGGAAAAGCCACTCAAACATACAAATCTGCATCCGCACCCTTAAATTTTGTTATTGTTGATAGAATTTCAACTTTTGTTGAATGTTTTTGGTGTTTTTTAAATTGTTAACGTCCTGTACTGTGGTATTTTAAACGTAAGGTTGAATTTTCCTTCCAAAACTTCCGCAAGAAAATTTTCATGCTCTGTTTGAATAAAGAACAGACTCAAATGTTTTGATTTGCTGTCAGAGGGCTCTTTCCATTTTGTACTTTTTTAAGTTTGTAATTATCGATTCTGTGCATTTTGCGTTAAATTGTTTAGGTTTTAAATGCTAAGATTTTGAGCATTTAAGGCGGCAGAGTAAATTTTACAAGTTGTCCAAATCACTTTTCCCGACCAAAGAAAACAAGGAAGGGCTGTATGAATAGAAATCAGCTGAAAAAAAGAAAAAAGAAGAAAGAGAAAAGAATAAATTGAACGAATGGAAGAACAGAAAAGAAGAAGAAAGAAAGAAGAAATTTGCTGAAGTATCTTGTAATTGGCTATAATGTTTTTTTTTTTTCTAAAAAGAGGAGAACAAAAGGGTATTTGAGTTCTTGGAAACCAAAAGGCGAAACTCAGGAAATGTGTTGGCCTAGTGCTAATTTTTTTTTATTATCTGTAAAATGAAAGTCATTGAACTCTATCCGTGATAAAGTCTCAAATATTTGCCCTTTAAAGAATTTAATGGCGTATCAGGATTACATACTATTGCGTGCTCCAGTTCACGAAATGGAACTTTTTTTTGGAAATAACACTGTTTATGTTTGAGGGAAATAAAGTAAATTTTGAGGGTTAAAGTTATCACTTTTCTAGATTTTTTGCCATTATCAGATAGAATTGGATTAACGGCGGACACAACTGTTCAATGCAGCTGAATAACAGAACTGATTTACAAGCAGCCGCTTCTCTCAAAGTAAAACAAGGAATAAAGTATTTGTCTACTCAAGATGTGTAGTTTTCAATTACCTTGACTCATGAGTCTTGGATATGCAAATCAAGAGGCTAAAGAACGATACCGGCAAACATTAGTAGAGTTAAAAATGCTGCATTTTTATGGCTAAAATCGTCAGTAATATTAATGAGTGTGAATCTAAAATGATATTCGGTCGAAATAATTAATGTAAGCAGGAAAGTTTTGAGTTTTTAAATTTTGATTTTATTTAAAACCTACTATTCGTTATCAACATTTTCCAACCTCAAACATAGGATTCCTTTCGTGTCACGATTGTAACAACTAAGAATAAACTCTGTAATTATGATAGCAAAATTTTAGAGCAGCCACTAAGTAACTTAAATTTTTTTTCCCAAAATGTGTTACAAATTTCTGTTTGCTTTTTTATGTATCTCCTCAACAAAAATTGTTTCCTAAATGTTGAATCATGGGTATTGAAAACAATTCTTTAAACTAGAAGGTGACCAAAGCCACTCGAGAGTATTGTTTGAAAGATCCAACTCAATTTTTATAATATTTTCTATTGTAAATACTTATTCTATTAATCAAAAATCCAGCTCAGAAGATCTCAATTCGTGCTGAAAAATTTAGAATCGATTTCAGTTGAAAGCTTAGTCTAACTTTGAGTAGCTTCACATTTTATCATGGCAGAAGCGTCATAAATATTGGTGTTTTAACATGCTGTAAAGCTGAATTGTTTTCTCTGATGCATTACGTTGATCGAAATCATAATCTTAAAAGTTCACCTCAATTCAGATGTCAGGACATTTAAATGGTGTAAAATCTGATCAAAAGTCAGTCTTTAACAATCATTTCATTAGTATTTTTCCATCATTTTTATTTTTAGAGCCAGTAGCTTTTATAATTTTGTAACGGTCAAGTTTTGAATTTGAGGTAGATTTTATTCTTGTAAAATTACTCAAACTAGGATACTCAGTAGGAGAATTCGTGCCTTTGAATCTTCGTCCAATTAGGGATTACTAGGTCATATCGTCAGTAGTCTTCTAAGATGTGCGATGCTCAGCCCTAGTCAGTTGAAGAGGGACATAGGAATGTCCCTCTCAAGTATTGAAAACAAAGAGGGAACACGTACCCGAAGAATTAAAACAGAAAAAGTTGAATTCCTACACTTATCATGTGTAATATTTCATTCCTCTAGTCAATTAATTTTCTGTATCTTATTCTAAAGGCAAAATAGCAATTAGTACATGCCATAGCTTCCTTGCGATGTGCGAATCCTTTCCTGTGTTTAACGTGTAAGTTAATTAGCTTCTAAGATCAAACGTGCGAACAACTTTTTTGTGAAAGCCTTGTGTTGTTATTAATTTTTAGGTCCCAGAGTTAAGTCGCACTGTACCCCAACATGCTCTCAATGCTTGTCTGTTCGATGCTTACCGATTTCTTTAATTTGGACCTACAGAGCAACCATGCCTTTTCAAACTAGCATCAGCGTTTCCGTACGTTTTTAATGTCAAGTATACCAATTCTTAATCAGATTGCATTCTGCAATAACGAACCACTATCTCTGGCTCTTCCATAAAACCACTTTTTTTGCATAGGGAAACCAATGGCATATATGTATGCTGTTTCTAAAATGAGCCAGAAATAGTGGTTCCTTATTGCAAAATGTGGCCCAATCTCTGGTAGGCTCATCCCATGGTCCATGAAGGTACAAAAAGCGGTGATTCACGAACCACATACATATTTTGATTTTTGATGTCGGAGACTTCCCTTCATACATTATATTCGAATACTAATCAATGATATTACTTGAGATCATCCTCGACTTTTCTTTTAAGTCGACATTTTAAGCATCGAAATGAGCTTGTTTCCCTCAAAAGTAATGAATAGGAGAGAACATTTTTAAGTATCATAAGTGAGATTTGAGGAATGCCGGAATAAGGGCACATGTAAAAAGTACAGAGTTTTGAGAAAATCGTATTGGGCAGTTCGACATGGTGTCTCAACAAACTGTATGTACCAGTTGCTTAGACCAAAGGCTATTCTTTCAACCTGGAGCTTAAAATTTTGAAATTCATGAGTAGTTTGAAAAGAAAAAAAAAAATCATGAAGGGTTTATTTCGAGTTAAGCCCCTCTTCCGGCATGGCCCTCTTTTGTGGTTTCTGAATACAGTTATTAATCCTTGTATTACTCGGACAACTATAAAACGGTTAGTTATCATTCAGGTGAGCATTGAAGGGTTTTATCACAAGTTGAATAGCCTCACCCTTTGTAATGATGTACTAGAAAAGCGAAATGAGATGCGGAGACAAGAGTTATATTTTGACATGACTCTTTGTTGAATCTCATTCCCTGGCAGTCAGTTTCGTAGGGTGCTTTTGGTCAACGTTCTATAGTTGAATAATCTCTTGCCATAAACCGTTGCTCCTAACTCAGTGCTTCAGTTCCATTCCATTATTCATAGTTCAAACAATCTTGTATCTACAATCGTAATAGCTCTGTTTTTATATATTTTTAAGTGTATTGTATACATATTGTACCATTTCCTTGTAATATATATTGAGCAAAAAGTTCTCTTGTTTAATTTGACGCCATAAAATTCCCCCGAAGTAAAACCCCCTTCATTCTGCAGCCGCTTTCCCCCCATAATCATTTTGAATTACGCTCTCAAAGAAGCATTCTATACCTGGCATTACAATGGAAGCATTTCAATCGGTGGCTTTTATTGATGTAAGCTCGGGCCTTGTATGATTGATCAAATTGAGTAGATAGTTGGACCATGCTTAATAGAAACACACCAAGTCATATCATGTTTGAACTGAGGAAAAAGAGGTTCGGAGTTTTACCCCTCTATACAACTCAAGGTCAATGACGAAGTTTAGAGACTATTTTCGAGTTTAAAATACTTTTTCTCAACTTTGAAATTTTGAAAGGAGAAAACTTATGACTTGTTGAATTCAAAACTGTACTCCTCACACATTTTATTTTTCGAACTGTGACCTGATACCATTTTTCTTCAAACTAGTCCAGTTTTAAAAAACAAATGAAAATGAAAAACGTTATGGTGGATGTTTTGCTGTGTTGGAATGAAAAATTTGGTTTTTGCGGTTGAAGTACCTGCAGTTAATTTTTATACTTCTTGTACACTCATACTCTAGTAAAGAACTGATTCAGTGTTAGTTGTATGCTGTAGGTAAAGAGATTATGAGATATTTGTATAAGCAGTATCCTACTGCAAGAAATCTGCACACAAAGAGCTTTATTTAATACATAATAAAAATTCATGATCAAGAAAAAGAATACTCTTTTGCCAAGTTAACTAATAATGGGATCTTTACAATGATGAAATGATGTGTCATAAGTAAATTTTCAAAGATTTGGGTACCTTTTGAAGGTGAATTAAATTAATTAAATATAGGAAAAAAGTCTTGCTTTTCACTTTTGAAAGGGACTTCAAAAGTCCCTTTCAATTGTGGTTTATTCTTAGTTCAGTGTAAAGGCAAGACTTTTTTCCTTTATTCAATTAATTTAATATTAACACGCAAAATGTGTTTCCATAATGAATTAAATAACTTCTTTTCGAAACCAACATGCAACAGGCTGATTTTTTTTCAGAAATGAAGATGGTAACTGTGCTTTGCGGCAGCAGATCTGGAAAAATGCTAAGGCTTGGTCATGGTATAAAATTCAATAAAAATAGTTTAGGTCAAAAATAAAATAATTTAATTACAACACACCATCAAAGAATTTAATATTAAAGTTGTTTCTTAATTTTCCTCAAGATACGATTTAGTTCGTATTGAAAAACTTGGGAAGACCTTCTCATCAAGGATTTTGAGAAAGGTTATCGATGAAATTGAAAAAATCGTAGCCATTGCAAATGCCTGCCACCATTTTACTATTTTTTTTTTTTTTTTTTTTTTTTTTTTTTTTTTTTTTTTTTTTAAAAAAAATTTTTTTTACTAGGTACTCCCAGTATATTTTCTCATTTCATTATGAAAGATTTATAGAACAGAGAATTGAAGGTTCCTCTTAATTGTTTTTTCAAATAAAACAAAACAAATAATCAAAGGTTTTTAAACGATGCAAGACGCAATGGAATGGAAGTCAGTGAAACAAACCTTTTTCATACAGCGCCTTCAATCTCAATAGCGGCAATTTACACTACTACGATGTCTTACGTATCTACAGTTTGGAAGGCATTTTTTACGCGAGAAGGTAACGCGCTCTACAGGAGTACAGATAAGATAAAACATGGCCGTTACGGCTACGCCGTTTACCGTGCAACGGATTTTAGGCACAGATTAGTCCAGATCGCTAACATCGGGTGCCACACACGGGAGGGATGAGGCGCCCAAAAGTGAGGCTCTGCTGCGCGCGCACGTCGCATGTTTGGATTGTAATTTCGCGGCAGATTCGAACCCAAGGGGCGAGTTCCATAATACATTCTTCTCAAATGCACAGTA